TGTCCCCTGACTGGCCCCTCCTGGGACCCCTGCCACTAACTGCCCCCTAGGACTCCACCCTCTATCTAAGCCTCCCTGCCTCTTGTCCCCTGACTGCCCCCTCCTGAGAACCCCCCACCCTAACTGCCCCCCTCGGACCCTACCTGTCCCCTGACTGCCCCAGCCTATATCCATACCCTTTCCCCCAGACAGACCCCGGGGACTCCCATGCCCTATCCAACTGCTCCCCGCCCCCTGACAGGACCCCCAAAACTCCCGACCCATCCAACCCCCTCTGCTCCCTGCCTGCCTCGACCCCTCTCCACACCCCCGTCCCGACAGCCCCCCCAGAACTCCTGGCCCATCCAATCCCCCCTACTCTCTGTCCCTTGACTGCCCCCTCCAGAAACCTCCTGCCCCTTCTCCAGCCCCCTGGGGCCCTTACCCTGCTGCTCAGAACAGCATGTCGGGCTCCACACGGAACCTGACACGTGGCTGCGCTCCCCAGCGCAACACACAACCCGGTCCCTGCCCCTGCACAGTGCTGCTGGAGCGGGGCGCTGGGCAGCAGGGGAGGAGGCGGAGCTGCCGAGGCCCGATGCGAACGGCCCGGCCGGCCGGCGATCTGAGAATGCAGGGAGGGAGGGGAAGGGGAGTAGCTCTACATTGGCCGGGCTGGACTCCGGCAGCTGATCTGAAGCTGCGGGGGGAAGGGCTCTGGCTGTCGGAGCCCCATGTGAGTGGCTGAATTTCCTGCAGCCCTGCCGCGCTCTGCATGGGGGGGAAATCCTGGACATTTGTAGCTATTTACAAATTCCCCCCAAACGTTACTTTTAACCCAAAAAGCCGGACGTGTCTGGGAAAATACAGATGAATGGTAACCCTAACTGATCTCATGATCTGGGATGAGATGGGTGATGGCTGGGGGTGGGGGGGGGAGAGAGGGACGGCATCTCTCTCCCTTCCCTCAAACTCCAAAGAAGTGCTGCAAGTGGGGTAGTTTGCAAGATTTTGGAGGAAGCGAATTGCATAATAGCAGATCAGCCTGGACTGGCTCCTGCTAACCCCATGGATTTCAATGTGAAAATCGAATTATGAGTTAAATACTGCGCCTTCCTGCATCCCTTTTGCAGTTACTGTCCAATCAACCACACAGCCCATAGCAAAGAGGTAGCATGGTCCAGTAGGTAAGTTACTGGACTAGGTTCTACTCCTGATTTAGCCACGGACTTCAGGTGTGATCTTTGTTAAAACACTTAAGCTCTGTGTGTCTCCTCTCACACTGTGTCTGTCTTATCTATTTAGATTGTAAGCTCTTTGAGATAGGGAGTCTCTTACTAGGTGTCTCCATAGGACTTTGACAATTTGACCCCAATATCAGCTGATGCCTCTAGGTGACAGTGGAATAGGAATACTAAATAATAAAAGCATGGCCACTTCTGCCTCTGGACTGGGCGTACACTTCCCTGCAGCTCACTAGTATCTGCAGGATTATGAGGTACCGCACTAGACACTTCAGTGTCTCCCCAGTGTTTCTTGGAAACTTTTCAGTGCCAGCCTATGCAACATTAGTGTTTTGTTATTTTTTAAACTTGGGAATTAAACACAAAGAAACTACGTTTTTGAGAAAGCTATCTGAAAACCAGAAATTCCATCATGCATATTCATATTGACACCCACACTGGCCATCAGTCGGGCTGGAACCTTTCAATCTACCCCACAGGTCTTTGCCACTTGAGCTAACAGAGTACATGATGACAGCAATAGTAGGCTGGCATTCTCTATGTGAGCCAGCTGCAGGGTGGGAAGAGAATTAGATACATATAT